GCCGGAGCATAATTTCGTCAATTTTTTCCCCCAAAAATTTTGTACTTTTTGTTTTTTACCTTCACCCAAAAAAATTCTCTACGATTTATAAAAAAAAAATAACAAATTTTTTTTTTTGGGAAAAATTTTTGGGGGAAATGGTGCGTGATCCAGTTTTGGGCCTTGGAACCCTGAAAGGGTTTTTCTTAGTTTTTAATTTGGGGTTAAAAGGTTTTTCCCTTTTTTTAGTTCATCTGTTAAATTATTCCATATTTTTTGGGACCTTTAAATTTTCATAGGGAATTTTTTATAAGATGCTCAAAAAAAGAGGGATATCAAAGGAGGTAAATTTTTGTTCTCCTACAAAAATCTTTTCGGAACCAATTTTCAGTTTGGGGTTTCCCCCAGGGGAAATGTCCTTGGCCCTCTTCTTTTTTTCTCCTATACATTTAAAAGAATTCCAAAAAGGTTCACCAAATTTCTCAAACCCCCACTTTTTTTGGGAGATGGGCCAAATCATACGTCTTCTCTCAAACCCGGGGCCCCGTCACGCTAGGGCCCAAAACTGTTTAAAAAAAAAAACCGAATTTTCAGAAAATTTTTTCCTGGATGAGGGTAACAAAAATCCCCTAAACCCCAAATTTACAAAAAATACTTATTTGTTTTGGGAACAGAGCTACAGATGCCCTTTTTAAAATAATGTAAAAAAAAAAGGAATTTACCTTTCACAAAACTAAAGAGGGGGGAAAAATTTTTAGGTCCCCCCTTGATAATTTTGACTCAAATTTCATACAAATTTTACAACAAATTTTTTAAGAAAATATCCCAAGGGTGTGGGGATAATTTCGAAGATTTCGGTACTTGTTCCACAGTCAGCCCTCCTTTGGCCCCCTTTTTTTATCCCCTCTTTTTTTTTCCCCTATCTTTCCTATTTGGGAAATTTTTGCATTGGGGGGCAACAACAATTTAACCCTTTTCAGACCACTAATTTCTCAACAAAAGGCTGCAAATTAGAATGATAACAAAATTCTCCCCTACAGGCAGCACACTCCACCAAAATTCAATACACTAAACCCAAATCACCATACAAAACATCCCTATTTTTACTGCACCCATTAAATACATAGAACACTTAACTTGTATTTTTTCCCTCCCCTCAAAAACTCCTTTTCCCAAACCCCAACAGGAAAAACATGACCATAACCCCAAGGCACGATCACTCTTTGTGTTCCTGTGTCCAAACTCCCCACTTTTGGCAAAAAAATCAATGAAAAAAAGGCCCTAAAATCGGGGGAAATTTTTACCTGTAAATATTAAAAAAAAACATCCTGTTTATAAATTCAAATTCTTCTCAAAGACCACTTATCACCCAAAACCCAAATAAATATGAATAAATGAAACCCCTTTTTAAATTGTTTATTTAAATGTTTTTTTCACAATTTATCACTTTAAATTTTTAAACCCAAAACCGGGAACTAATTTTTATTTTTTAAAAAACACTACCCAACAGAATCACTTCCTAACTGAATGCAACCATTTTGACCCGTCCTTTGTAATACTCACTTGTGCTTTTTAGTAATCTGTTTACTTTTAAAGTTTTTTCACTGATTTAAACATTGCTTAATTAATCTTAAGTTAAAATTTTTTTCCAGCCCCTAAAGCTTTGCATAGTTTTAAGTGGCTTTGGATACTGCCCTTTTCTTAATTTTTTTTTTACCTCTGTATGGTGTCAAATTGGAAAAAAAATAAATAAAAAAAATAAATAAATTTCGGTTAGCAAGTGGGCTGGGATTTAGCATCCCCTTTTAGCAGTGTTTGGAACATGTAGGGCTCAATGGGTAGGAGAAAAAGAATTTTTCAAATTTTTTATTTAGTAAAATTTTAAGGGGGGTTTGAATAAAGGCATAGTGTTGCCCATTGGTAGAGTATAATTATAAACCCAAACCCAAAAAAAAAACAAAATTTTTTTTCCTTGCAAGATTACACTGAGGGTTAAGGGAAAAAAAAAATAAGAGTTGCAGTGCCAAAGAGCCACTATCATGCCCAGGCCTTTTTGGACAACTTAAAATTTTAAAGGCTTACCACTACTTAATCCTAAAGAAATTGATCATTGTTTAAGTTTTACATCTGTTTTTTTTTTTATTTGTAGAAGTAATTTTATCAAATTACAATTTTTTTAAAATTAAATTTTTATGGGAATAAACATTGTGAATTTTTGAAAAATTTGTTAACGTATGAGAAAGTTACAATGGGTGTAAAGGGAGTATTGTTTTGGGGGTAGGGGATTATACTACAATGTAGTATATTAATCAAAGTATAAAATTTGGGCTTTAGTTTTGAAGTTTTTTAAAATTTTTGGTAATTGGGAGATTTTTTGGTTAAAATTAAATATTGAGTATTTAGTTTTGGGTTAGTAGGTTGGGGTTTTTGGGGGAAAAATTTTAAATTGATGTTGGACCCGGGGTTCCCGTTTGTATTTACTGGTAATGAATTCCAAATTTTGGGGGGCCCTTTTTGTGAAAAGAGTTTTACATAGTGTGATTTGGACACAGGGTAAATCAAAAAAGGGTCTTGTTTTCGTGTTATGGTCGTGGGGTCCCGTTTAAAAGGGTTTGGGGAGGAGAAGTTGAAATGGGAAAGGGTTTTGTTTGAGTTTTAGTGTCCCACATATGTAGTAGGCACATGAATAATATGGATGTTCTTTACGGTGAGCAATTTTAGATTTTGAAAATTGGTGGAGTATTTCGTACGGAGTGGGAATTTGTTATCATTCTGACTTTCAGCCTTTTTTTCTGGGTTTTTATGGGGCTTCAGTGATTTAATGTTGTTTATTTCCATGCATGTTTCCCCTGGTGATATAAGGGTAGATGAGTGAAGTAAGTTTCAAAGGGGGCTGATTTTGGAAAAATAGTACTGCCCTTTCTCTACAACTTTTCCTTTTGTTTTACTTAAATTTGTTTTTAAAATTTAAAAAACCCCAAATGCATCCCCCCGGGCCCGATTAAATGTGTAAAGTTCAGGTACAAAGGAACAGAAAAAATGCTTTTAAGGGCAGGTTGAAGAACTACAGTGGACCTCCCCATACCCTTGGCATTTACATAACCCTTAAATCCGCATACCGTACATATTATCGTAGGGTTTTTCCCGGGATACCGCTAAAAAACCCGCCCCAACATATTCGTCCGGGGAGCGTTAATGTGCGGCCCGAGCCCGCCCCACATGTTCCGCCCGGGGGCATTGTTTACAAACCAGCCTCTGCGGGAACTTCCCCAAGGGATACAATCGGAACATTTGTAATTTTTTACAGCGTTTTTGGGGATGTGTAGATCAAGTGTTTACATTGAAGCATATATGTGAACAGTATTTAGATAAAGGTAGGGAAGTTTTTATTGCATTTTATGGATTTAGAAAAGGCATATGATAGAGTGGATAGAGGAGCAATGTGGCAGATTTTGCAAGTATATGGAATAGGTGGTAAGTTATTAAATGCTGTAAAGAGTTTTTATGAGGATAGTGAGGCTCAGGTTAGGGTGTGTAGAAGAGAGGGAAAAAACAGTGATAATGTGTGAGTGTGGTGAAAGTGTTGAATGATGATGAAAGTATTTTCTTTCTGGGGATTTTCTTTCTTTTTTGGGTCACCCTGCCTCGGTGGGAGACGGCCGACTTGTTGAAAAAAAAAAAATTAAAAAGAAGTAAAACTTCACATTTTTTTCTTTTTCAGGTCACCCTGTGTAGGTGGGAGACAACCTTGATATTAAGAAGGTTGTGTCACCAAGAAAGAGTTCAGATTCTGGTGGTGTTAGGTGGGTCATGGATATAAACCAGGAAGAGAAGAGGGGCCAAACTGCTACCCTGGGGGACACTTAGGTTTATGGTCAGGGCAACAGTTAAGGTGTTGTTTATGGTTACATGTTGTTGTCTGTTACTGAGACAGAACTGAAAATATATGTAGCTCTGTCCTCTGCGTCCATAATGATTAAGTTGGGTTAGGAGTGTACTGTGGTAAATAGTATCCAAAGCCTTATGTATATCTGTCTCTAGTGAGACAGACTGAATGAATGATGTGAAAATGTTTCTTCTTTTCAGGTCACCCTACTTCAGTGGGAGATTGCTAGGTGCAAGGTTCTGACCAGAGCTTTGGAAAGATATATACATACCTTTGATATTTCGAGAGTATATCTACTCTCTGAGCCCGGCCATGGGCCAGGCTCGTCTGATGATCGCCTGGTCAACCAGGCTGTTGCTGCTGGAGGCTCGCTGCCCCACATATCCATCACAGCCTTGTTGATCTGGCACCTGGTGAAGATACTTGTCTAGTTTCCTCTTGAAGGCTTCAACACTTGTTCCAGCAGTGTTTCTGATATCTTCTGGTAAGATGTTGAAAAGTCTGGGACCCCGGATGTTGATACAGTGTTCCCTTATTGTCCCCACTACACCCCTGCTCCTCACTGGGTTTATTTTACACTTCCTCCCATATCTCTCACTCCAGTGTTGTTATGGCAGTGTGCAGATTTGGGACCAAGCCCTCGAGTACCTTCCAGGTATATATTATCATGTACCTCTCTCTCCTCCGCTCCAATGAGTACATGTTCAAGACTTGCAGGCGTTCCCAGTAGTTTAGGTGCTTTACTGGCTCAATGTGACCCATAAACGATCTCTGTATTTATTCCAGCTCCGATATTTCCCCTGCCCTGAACGGGGCCGTCAGCACTGAGCAATATTCTAAGTGAGGGAGCAATAGCGATTTGAAGAGTGTCACCATCGGCATTGTTTCCCTTGTTTTGAAAGTTCTCAATACCCACCCCATCATCTTCCTGGCTGTCGTGATCTTTGTCTTGTTATGGTCTTTAAAAGAAAGGTCCACTGACATAATTATTCCTAGGTCTTTTACGTGTTCTTTACGTTCTATTTGGTGACCCTCTTGAGTTTTGTATATAGTGCTCCTTTTGAGTTCTTCATTCTTTCCATACCTAAGCAGCTGGAACTTATCACCATTGAACGTTAGATGAAACTGCCGTTACTTAATGCCGCTGTTAGTTGAGGGTTGACTGTATATTGAAGAGTATAGGGCTGAGGCAAGAGCCTTGTGGTACTCCAGCTGTCGCCATGAAGGGTGTTGCTGCCGTACCATGGAAGGTGGGAATGATACTTCTACCTGTTAAGAAGTTGTATATAAGCCTGAGAAAGGTCCAGTTGTGATCTGGGAGGTCTGCAAGTTTGAAAATGAGTCCGCAGTGCCACAGGCTGTCAGAGGCCTTGTGTACGTCTCTAGTTGCAATCAGGGCCAAGTTCCCTTGCTTCCTCAGGTTGGCCACGGCATCAAAGATGATATTTATCACATGCTGTGTGCTACAGTGGGACCTGAAGCTGAACTTCCTTTCAGAGATTATTCAAGTAAGGAGATGGGCCTGTAGTTCTCAGGGTTTTGGTTGTCCTTGTTGTGTTTGGTGATGAAGATCATCCTTGCCATCTTAAATGTCACTAGGAAATGTCCTGATGCCAAGATGGCACTGAAGATATTCAACAGCGACATCTTGCAGTTACAGGGAAGGTGCAGTAGGGCCCCACTTATATGGCGGGTTAGGTTCCAGGCTGTTGCCGGAAAGCAGACATCACCAGAAGGCAGAACGCCATTTTTTTCCATTTATAAATGCATATAAATACATTTATAGCCAGTTGTGAGTGTGGGGGAAGTTCGTGAGGCAGTAGGTAAAATGAAAGGGGGTAAGGCAGCCGGGATTGATGGGATAAAGATAGAAATGTTAAAAGCAGGTGGGGATATAGTTTTGGAGTGGTTGGTGCAATTATTTAATAAATGTATGGAAGAGGGTAAGGTACCTAGGGATTGGCAGAGAGCATGCATAGTTCCTTTGTATAAAGGCAAAGGGGATAAAAAGAGAGTGCAAAAATTATAGGGGGATAATGTCTGCTGAGTATACCTGGTAAAGTGTATGGTAGAGTTATTATTGAAAGAATTAAGAGTAAGACGGAGAATAGGATAGCAGATGAACAAGGAGGCTTTAGGAAAGGTAGGGGGTGTGTGGACCAGGTGTTTACAGTGAAACATATAAGTGAACAGTATTTAGATAAGGCTAAAGAGGTCTTTGTGGCATTTATGGATTTGGAAAAGGCATATGACAGGGTGGATAGGGGGCAATGTGGCAGATGTTGCAAGTGTATGGTGTAGGAGGTAGGTTACTGAAAGCAGTGAAGAGTTTTTACGAGGATAGTGAGGCTCAAGTTAGAGTATGTAGGAAAGAGGGAAATTATTTCCCAGTAAAAGTAGGCCTTAGACAAGGATGTGTGATGTCACCGTGGTTGTTTAATATATTTATAGATGGGGTTGTAAGAGAAGTAAATGCGAGGGTCTTGACAAGAGGCGTGGAGTTAAAAGATAAAGAATCACACACAAAGTGGGAGTTGTCACAGCTGCTCTTTGCTGATGACACTGTGCTCTTGGGAGATTCTGAAGAGAAGTTGCAGAGATTGGTGGATGAATTTGGTAGGGTGTGCAAAAGAATTAAATTAAAGGTGAATACAGGAAAGAGTTAGGTTATGAGGATAACAAAAAGATTAGGTGATGAAAGATTGAATATCAGATTGGAGGGAGAGAGTATGGGGAGGTGAATGTATTCAGATATTTGGGAGTGGACGTGTCAGTGGATGGGTCTATGAAAGATGAGGTGAATCATAGAATTGATGAGGGGAAAAAAGAGTGAGTGGGGGCACTTAGGAGTCTGTGGAGACAAAGAACTTTGTCCTTGGAGGCAAAGAGGGGAATGTATGAGAGTATAGTTTTACCAACGCACTTATATGGGTGTGAAGCATGGGTGATGAATGTTGCAGCTAGGAGAAGGCTGGAGGCAGTGGAGATGTCATGTCTGAGAGCAATGTGTGGTGTGAATATAATGCAGAGAATTCGTAGTTTGGAAGTTAGGAGGAGGTGCGGGATTACCAAAACTGTTGTCCAGAGGGCTGAGGAAGGGTTATTGAGGTGGTTCGGACATGTAGAGAGAATGGAGCAAAAACAGAATGACTTCAAAGAGTGTATCAGTCTGTAGTGGAAGGAAGGCGGGGTAGGGGTCGGCCTAGGAAAGGTTGGAGGGAGGGGGTAAAGGAGGTTTTGTGTGCGAGGGGCTTGGACTTCCAGCAGGCATGCGTGAGCGTGTTTGATAGGAGTGAATGGAGACAAATGGTTTTTAATACTTGACGTGCTGTTGGAGTGTGAGCAAAGTAACATTTATGAAGGGGTTCAGGGAAACCGGCAGGCCGGACTTGAGTCCTGGAGATGGGAAGTACAGTGCCTGCACTCTGAAGGAGGGGTGTTAATGTTGCAGTTTAAAAACTGTAGTGTAAAGCACCCTTCTGGCAAGACAGTGATGGAGTGAATGATGGTGAAAGTTTTTCTTTTTCGGGCCACCCTGCCTTGGTGGGAATCGGCCAGTGTGATAATAAAAAAAAAATAAAATATAAAATATGCAGTAACTTTAAAACACTTGAAATTTTGGAAAGTTTCCTGACATAATAGATGAGGTCACGGAAAATGTAAACAAACCGGGTGGGGGGCGCCGTATTTGAAAGCCCGCTTGCCATATAGCAAATTTTGGTTATAATTTGACATCGCCGTATTAGCAGAATGCCGTAAGGTGAAACGCCATAAAGCGAGGCCTTACTGTACTTTATTTGTTTAGCTGTTATACCTGATAGGCCAGGTACTGTGTTCCTCATTCGCCCAATGATTGCTGGTGTTAAAAAAAAAATGATGAAATTTACTATCAAAAACAAGAAACTTTCACCTGTTTGCAATAAGGACATTTCCTGGTCAACCAGAGAATTCTCCGAGGCCCACTGGAATACAACATTACCCTCCTCACCGTGGATCCACTGAGCTCCCATCTCTAGATGGTATTCCCCTGAAAAAAAAAAATAACACTAATTTTTTTTAAATGTTTTTGTATCTCAGAAAATGGTTAAATAAACAAAAATAATAATAAAAAATTACTGTATTAGAACTATAATTATTAATAAATTGATAATATAATTGAGTTATTTTACATTCTTTTAACCAAGATATACAGTCATCACAAAACTAATAATATGTATAACATGATATAAATACATAAAATATATCTAATGAAGAACATATGAATTTGTTCACTAGTTACTCACCATGGTCTACAGTGTGAACTCTACCTCCTATCCTGTCTTGTGCTTCAAGAACAACAAGATCATCTATGCCATATTCAATCAGTCTTTGTGCTGCACCAAGTCCTGCTACACCAGCTCCAATTATACAAACACGCACTTTACTAGGAACACCAGCCATTCTACTGTAGAATTGTGATGCTCTGAAATGTCAAAAAATTACAATAAACTTGAAAAAGGCTTATACACAACTATTGTGTGCATCATCAGTGCCCTGTTCCAGTCATGGTATTGTGCCTTTTTATTTTTTTGGCAAGGCTTAATAAGGCATTTAAAATAAAGGAGTCGAAACTCAGCCATGAATGCAAAATTACCATCAACCAGCGCCCAGAATATCTTGATGCAAATTTTGCCAACATTAAGAAACAAAGTTGGTATGGAACAGGTTGATCATCATTAATATGGCTTCATTGGGACCTGTAGGGTGCCAGACTAGTGATTTTGCCAGGTTACAGAGTTTTTAGATTAGAATACACTTAACCCAACGGCGATATTCATGCATCGGCAATTTCACCCACTTTATGCCCTTTAGTTGGCCCATTCCATTGTTACAGTCTACTAAACTCATAGCTATTTTGCTAGTATTCCTTCTATTCTGTCGACTGAGTACAAAAAAAAACACCCATTTACTTATTTCAACTACCCAATAAAATAGTCAGAAATCGGTAATTTCGCCAATTTCACACAAATTTCAAGAGATGCCAATTTCAAAATATGGTCCAGAATAAACAGTGCAGACATTCCTGGCACTTAACCCTTTGACTGTCGCGGCCGTATATATACGTCTTACAAGGTACAGTGTTTGACGTACATATACTCATAAATTCTAGCGGCTTCAAATCAAGCAGGAGAAAGCTGGTAGGCCTACATGTGAGAGAATGGGTCTGTGTGGTCAGTGTGCAACACATAAAAAAAATCCTGGAGCACGCAGTGCATGAGAAAAAAAAAACTCCGACCGATTTTTTTAATTAAAATGCCGACTTTGTAGTCTATTTTCGTATAGTATTTATGGTTGTATTCTCGTTTTCTTGGTCTCATTTGATAGAATGGAAAACATATGATAGAAATAGCGGTGATTTTGATTGATTTTACTATAAAAAGAACCTAGAAATGGAGCTCAAATTAGGGGAAATGTTTGATTTTTGCCAATGTTCAAAAGTAAACAAATGATGCCATTGTCCAATAAATGTCCAACTAGCCATTCTAATATGCAGTCATGAATGGGTTGATGCTATTTATACAATTATTACAGTATTGCAGTAGTCTGCACAATAGTAAGTCTTCTATTTTTAGTTTGAATAAAAATTCAAAATAGAAAGCAAATGTAATATCAGAGGGGCCTGGAGACATGACTGATGAGCAAAGAAAATGTTATTTTAGAGCCAGGAATGTCTGCATTGTTCATTCTGGACCTTATTTTGAAATTGTCATATTTTTTAGTTTTCGTGAAACTGGCCAAATTGCAAATTTCTGACCACATTATTAGGTAGTTGAAATCGGTAAATGGGCAGTTTCTTGTACTCAATCGATAGAAAAAATGGAGTTCTAAAGAAATAGCTATGAGTTTGGGCGACTGGAACAATGGAATTAGCTGAAAATAGGGCTCAAAGTGGGCAAAATCGCCGATTTGTAAACAGCGCCGAGGTCGCTAACTTCGCGAGAGCATAATTCCGTCAGTTCTCCACCAAATTTCGTTTTTTTGGTGTCATTACAATCGGGAAAAGATTCTCTATCATTTCATAAGAAAAAATAATTTTTTCTTTTAAATTTTGCGACACCAGGAGACACCTCAGGATTGGGGGTTGCAACAGTCAAAGGGTTAAATAACATTTTCTCTGTTCATTAGTCACATCTCCAGGCCCCTCTTATATTATGCTTGCTTTCCATATTTAATTTTTATTTACACAAACAATAGAAGATTTACTGTTGTGCATTATTGTAATACAGTGGACCCACGAGTTTCGGCAGCCTCGACTTTCGCAAAATTCGACCTTCGGTGAGTTTTTTTTGGAAAAATTTGGCCTCGAGTTTTGTGAAAAAACTCGTGTTTCGGCGACCGTCCAGTACCCATCCGCCCGTCACCGTGCACACAAAGCCAGTCTCCCATGCCATTCACACTCAGTGTGCCATTGTTTACCAACACGTGACCATCACCCCGCGGGTTCATACAATACATTTCATAATAATCCATTGTTTTTTTGTGCTTGCAGCTGCTAAATAAGTCATCATGGACCCAAGGAAAGCTAGTGCAAGCCCTTTGGTAAATAAAGTGAGTGACGGGGATGTGGAAGAGTTGGTGGAGGACCACAGGGAAGAGCTAACCACTGACAAACTGCAAGAGCTTCAACTGGAACAGCATCAGACCACGGCCGAGGAACTTGCTTCAGAGGAGGAGGAAGAGGGAGTGGATGAGGTGCCTTCTTCAAAAATTAAGGAGATTTGTGCCAAGTGGAATGAGTTGCAAAGTTTTGTTGAAAAGTATCACCCTGACCAAGCTGAAACAAGCCATATCTGCAACATGTACAATGACAGTGTTGTGTCCCACTTCTTAAAGAAACAACAGAAAAAGATCTCTCTGGATAGATATTTTGTGCGCCAGGAGTCCAGTGATTCTCAAGTTGTTCCCAGTGGCATTAAAAGAAGGGAAGTAACCCCAGATAAGGACTTGCTACCTAAAGTCCTAATGGAAGTAGATTCTCCTTCCAAACAATAGTGTACACCTTCCTCCTATCACCTCCTCCCATCTTCCATCCACCCAGAAGTCTTCAGTAAAGGTAAGTGTAATGTTATTATTATTTATTTTAAAAGCATGTACTTGATTTCTGATTGTTTTCATTATGTAAATCTTTATTTAATTTGAAAAAAAATATTTTATTTTAATATTTTTGGGTGTCTGGAACGGATTAATTTTATTTCCATTATTTCTTATGGGGAAAATGGTTTCGAGTTTCGTAAATTTCGACCTTCGGCGGGCTCTCTGGAACGGATTAATCATGAAACTCGGGGGTACACTGTAATTGTATAAATAAATTTGTAACCTCGTATTAGATAGTCCAGTTGGACATGTATTGGAAGATAAGGTTATTCGTTTACTCTTGAACATCAGCAAAAATCGAACATTTCCAATACAGTGGACCCCCGGTTAACGATATTTTTTCATTCCAGAAGTATGTTCAGGTGCCAGTGCTGACCGAATTTGTTCCCATAAGGAATATTGTGAAGTAGATTAGTCCATTTCAGACCCCCAAACATACACGTACAAACGCACTTACATAAATACACTTACATAATTGGTCGCATTGGGAGGTGATCGTTAAGCGGGGGTCCACCGTACTTTAAGCTCAGTTTCGAGGTATACTTTCCTTCGTGAAACCAATCAAAATCATACCTATTTCTGTAATATATCTTCCATTCTATCAAATGAGACCAAAAAAAAATGAGAATACAACCACAAAAACCATGCGATAATACACCGCAAAGTTACTGTTTTACACCAAAATGATTGCCAGATTAGTGATGGCCGACCTGTACTAGGATAAAGGAGCAGAATCAGTTAACAGACTACAGTGGACCCCCGCATAACGATGGCATCACATAGCGATTTTTCCGCATACCGATTACTTTTATCGCAAAATTTTTGCCGCGCATACCGATTAAAAACCCGCTTACCGATTTTCGTCCGAGACGCGTCCAATGTGCCCTCAGCCAGCCTCACATGTGCCGGCCGTCCCATTGTTTACCAGCCAGCCTCCGCGGTAACATCCAAGCATACACTCGGAATATTTCGTATTATTACAGTGTTTTCGGTGCTGTTTCTGGAAAATAAGTGACCATGGGCCCCAAGAAAGCTTCTAGTGCCAACCCTGTGGTAAAAAGGGTGAGAATTAGTATGGAAATTAAGAAAGATTTTGAAGGGTTTGGGCTAACCCTGAGAAGCCTATGCCAGTTGTGGAATCCATTGTGCCTACTTCAAAGATTAAGGAAATGTGTGCACAGTGGGTTGAACTGCAAACCTTTATAGATGAAAATCACCCTGACACAGCTGTTGCAAGCCGTGCTGGTGACTATTTCAATGACAATGTTGTGGCCCATTTTAGACAAATCGTAAAGGAACGGGAGGTACAGAGCTCTATGGACAGATTTGTTGTGCGACAGAGGTCCAGTGACTCTCAAGCTGGTCCTAGTGGCATTAAAAGAAGAAGGGAAGTAACCCCGGAAAAGGACTTGCTACCTCAAGTCGTAATGGAAGGGGATTCCCCTTCTAAACAGTAAGAAGATAATGCTCTCCCCTCCTCCCATCCCATCAATCATCACCAGATCTTCAATAAAAGTAAGTGTCATTTAATTGTGCATGCCTTTTTCAGTTTGTGTGTATTAAAATTAACATTTCATGTGGTAAAAAAAAATTTTTTTCATACTTTTGGGCGTCTTGCACGGATTAATTTGATTTCCATTATTTCTTATGGGGAAAATTCATTCGCATAACGATTATTTCGCATAACGATGAGCCCTCTTGCACGGATTAAAATCGTTAACCGGGGGTCCACTGTATATCAAGGCCAGTCTTGGTATACATCAATTTAAGAAAATAACTACAAAATACATATTGAATAAAGCTGCAGAAAGAGAAGAAAGTGTATTATTAATATGTCTGCAATTTAAATTTGATCTAACACATGCTATTCAATTTTGTTGTTTTTATTGTTAATATTAAGAAAGTAGAGAATACAATGGCATGCATATATGCCAAACTACAAATTTATTTACCTATATAGGTGCTGCTCGACTTACAATGGGATTACCTTCCAACAAACCCATCGCAAGTCCAAAAATATCTTAAGTTGAGTATGTTATGATAAACAAATAAATAACTACTGTCACTGAATAAGTAAATAAATTACTGTAACTAACTAAATACCAATATTGAAAAGTAAATAAATGAATACAAGTTACAGACTTGCTGCCTTCATGCAGCAAAGAAACGTAGAGCCCCCCATCTGCAGATTCAGTTTCTGCCATTTCAGTTACCCGCAGCTTACCATGGTGGATACATTTCCTTGGACTAAAAGCCCCTCACTGGCCTCAAGACACTTCCCATGAGAGGATATAATAACTTCCTTTGATCACACAGCAACAGCTGGCC